AAGATGATAATAAGAACAATGATAATGGTAATAATAATAATGAAAATAATAATAATAATAACAATAATTATGAAAATAATAACAGAAATTATTAAAATAATAACAACAATAATGATAATAATAATAATAATAGCAAGGATGATAATAATAATGCCAATAACACTAACAGTATTTCATTACCAATATCATCATTATAATAATAATATTTTTTAATCATTACTACTACTACTACTACGTCTACTACTGATAACAATGATGGTAAGTAAACAATGTTATGACGATGATGGTGATAAAAATAATGATAATAATGATCATCTTAATTATAATAATAATAACAATAACAATACTAATAATAACAATGGTAATAATAGTAATAGTAATAACAGCAATAATATTAATCATGATGATAATTATTACAGCAATAATAATTACTATTACCATTATCATAGAAATAATGAAAATAATAATAAAGAACAACACTAATAATAATAATAATAATAATAATAATTATTATTATTATCATTATTATTGTTATTATAGAAATTACAATAGCAATGAGAACAACAGTAATGAAAAATTGTAATTATGATTAAGAAAAATAAATCATCAATAACAATAAAACAATAATGATACTAATGATAACGATAATGTTAACAACACCAACACTACTAATATTAATAGTGTCAATAATGATAAAAATAATAATAACAATCACTATTTTTATCCTTATTGTAGTAGTAGTAGTAGTAGGAGTAGTAGTAGTAATGATAATAAAACAATAATAACAGTAGTAGTAGCAATGATAATTACGATGATGATAATAATTATAATAATAATGATAACAACAACGATAACAATAATAATGATAAGATAATGAAATAACATAACAAATATAACAATAAGAATAAAAAAATAACACCAATACATTATTAATAATAGAGAAGTAGCAATAACACCAATAATAGTAACGATACAAATAATAATAATAAGAATTAGTATACTAGCAATGATGATGATAGTGATAATGATAACAATGTTTACAAGGTGATAATACGAATAATAAATACTGATCGTCATAAAATCTTAATAAACTAGTAGTCCTATTGGTAAAAATATAAGAACTACTATTAGAAAAAGACCAATGTGAACAGAGGAGACAACCGAACAAAGCATAGCAGATACACCCCCCCTAAAAAAAAAAAAAAAAAAGTGAAAAGGTACTCGTCGCTCTCCCACAGGTGTACCTCGATAATCCGAACTGCCGCCTCTCCACGGAAACGAAAATTACGCTTCCTGTTTACGAATGGTCACTAAAATCACTTCTGAAATAGAAATCACTTTCGATAAATGGGTAATCTGTTTTAAACTACATGAACTACATCCTCGTATTTCACCACAGCATCCCATGCCGTCATCAGTAACGACAGTATGCCACATGTGTGCTACCTGAGATAGCTTGTCCCTTCCATTCTGCGCCCATGCCCAGCACAAAAAATGAGGATGTGAAAGCGGTTCGAAGTACCCAAAGTAATGGACTCATTAGGCAAAAGCACTCTTGTACCTGATTTTTTGCAAACTGTAAGGATCATTCGGAGGTCACTCACTGGACATTTATTTCCCATCCTTTTAAAGGGGATTGTAATATGATATTTTACATATTCCCAGCCACAGAACTGTTACTGACATGCTTTTTGTCACCCGACAAGGAGATTCCCCAACATATGATTTCTCTTCGCAATAGTAATGGACGAATATCAGTTTATATTTTTTAAGGTTTTACATAAACTCAACGGAAAATATGTAATGTGTACACACATCTATCAATCTATCTATCTATCTATCTATCTATCTATCTATCTATCTATATATATATATATATATATATATATATATATATATATATATATATATATATATATATATATATAACGAAATCAAATCAAGCCTCTGTTCTTAATGAAAATTGCCTACGGAACGTTACGCCACACTTCGATATACAATGGAACAACGTATCCACAGATTGGAAGCAAACAATTCAACAAGCTATACCCAAGCCCGAGCTGAATCATCAGAATTGACCAAATTTGTTACTTGGCAGTTTGGAGAGACGAGGCCCTAAGTACAGTAGGGTTACCAAGAACAATTCAAACATTTGTCAAAGTTTCTTTACCTGCGACAGTTCGCACGAACGTATCGATACTTTCTTAGATTCTTTTTGATTCTGTTATCAAAAGCGAACGTTATCAGAAAACAATGTAAACGGTTTTTCGGTACAACAAAACGGCTCTCAAAGTACCCTCACCTCGATATCTCCTTCGATGATTTACAAAACATTTGCATACTTCGTGCTTCCACCCTCTCGAAGGAAGTAAACACCACGATAATGAGATATCCTCTTAAAGGTTAATTCAAATTGTACGTGCCTTTCCCTACACCTTCAGCTTCCGGCTGGTTGCCGTTTCCATCCGAACGCTACATGTACACCGTCGAGACAGCCGAACCAAAAAAACAACTGTCAATTAACTCGTTCGACCTAGAATCCAGAACTAAGCTCACTAACCGTTTACCATAGCACAGTCCATAAGTGTTTGATGCATCTTCTAATAACAAATACATATAGTTTTCCCTAAATTATTTTTAAACGAATGTTTTTTTCGACTCTCGGTTACGAGTAAGTGAATGCTGCTGCGCATTCGGTTACTTCTCCATCATGAATCCGCCGCTGTCCAAAAACTACAGCGGTTTGAAATGTGAGCCGCTACGATCGGTTGGTCGTAGGGGAAAGTAAGGAACTGCGGTGGAAGTCCGCTAGTTATCAAGGATATTTTATTCCGTGGCTTGCACTTACCAAGAATATCGAGCACTTTTAGATGTTTTTAGGATATCATTACTCTCATGGGAAGTCGCCTTTCCTGTGGGTTTTATTATCATTTTTATCATTAGTATTACCATTATTATTATTATTACTATTACTATTATTATCATTATTATTATTATTACTTATTATTCAGTTCTGACGGAGTTGTGGCTGATATTTGTATCTCGTAAAACGTACAAACAATAATAAAAGTAACATTAGGTTGGAACCATGCCACACAGTCTCGCTATTCGATTCCAACCAAAGAAAAATCTGACGGGCGTTTGAAAGCAATATCAGTTGCCTGAATTTTGTAGCAAACAATTTTCTTAGGTAAAGAACATAGATGTATAACTGTGAGAATGAATTGGACAGAAAATCACACAGACTTTACAAGCAAAAACTGACAAATAAAAAGAATCTTCGCTGTAGCATATGCTGCCGTCTAGTGCATGCACGCCGTCTGACTGGGCATATGTTTAAACTGAATTTTAGACTTAAATGAATTAACGTCTACCATCACGTGTCACAAAGTCTGTAAGATTATCAAGAAAAAAAAAAAGAATACTGGGCTTGGTAGATATAGTCTTTGTTCCATGTCGCCAAGGAACATGATATCTTTCCCCTTGCAAAATCTTAAGGTTTCTTTAAGGAAAGATCTTATGGCATGCGATGCAAAGGAACTCAAAATGAAAGGCAGTAAAGTCACATGGATAATAAGAAAACTGTTATAAAATCCTGGATAACTATTCAATCGACAGCATTTCATCTCAACACAAGAGAAAATGTAAGACTTCATCCCCATCTCGTGCGACTGCCCAGCGTGTGTGCAGGTCAAATTTCAGGTCGGCGTGGCGATACCCTCCCCCCTTCCAGGATACCTATCCACAACCTCCTTCCTTGTCCTTACCGCGTGACTCTCCACGCAGAAACTCCCAAGGGCAGATGTTTGACGACCCACTGCCGCTTCCTTCCTCCCCGGTCCGCCGTGGGCCTAAGCTTGAGGGTCACACGGCCATTAACGGTGACGCTGGGTGGACTTCCTTTCGAGGGCATATAGGCCAGATTGTGAAAGCTTATAATAATCTAATACAAATTGTTCATAACGTAAGTCTAATGGAAATGCCTGCTAAAAATTTTCATTGGATGATCGTTGCGGAACACAGTGGCGCTCTGGTCATTTGTCTCGTTTAATGGCGACCGTGTTTTATGGGACAAAGCCAATTGAGTGGCCGTATTGCCGCGAAATATACACATTCTATGGATCTATGTATATGAATGTTTTCACATATATTTCAGCCAAAACAGATTAATGAATAATCGTCTAAATTAAATACATTGATTTTTTTCTTTATAGGCACACAGACGCACACACATACACACACACACACACACACACACACACACACACACACACACACACACACACACACACACACACACACACACACACACACACACACACACACAAGAAACGATGTCAGATTGTATATTTATTAATGTACTGGGCCGACATCTGATCAAATATTTTCATATATACATGGGATCTCGATTTCGGCAGCTGATATAGCAAAAAATCGTAATGTGTATTGTAAATGTGTAATGTATAGATTTATTAGTGATGCATATTGTGCATGATGCATGTCATAACCTAGGATGTTTCTACACTATACTGCTACTATAAGTGTATTTATGTAATGATCCAAATCATATATAGCTGACATAGAATTATTTTTCGCATGTTCGAACGACAGACTAACGTGCTTTAACCAATGTTCTACAAAGAAATCGGTTGTGCGATTTAAAGAAATGTTCAAAATCAGCGCCATTTGGGGACGACAACTAATGCCATCTGTTGAGCACTCTGTCATGGGAACTCACCATACTAAAGGAGATGTGCCATAAAGTTTGGTTAAGTTTTGTTAAAAAATGAACATTTCTAGGACGGTAAACCTATTTATTGAACTTCTTTCGAAAACAACGGTTTAGTGACAATGCATTTGGATAAGAATATATTAATCAAAAACATATTTGGTATTTTAAGCTATCTTGGATACATTGTTTAAAAAAATAAGGGTTATCCACAGGGACCTTACTTGCGGGTGAACGCTCGATTGTGGAAAAAGTTGGACACTTGGTGAGTTCTGTCCGCAGTCGCCATTTTCTCGTCGGGAAGGAAGGAGAGAGAGACGACTCGCGCTGAGCTGTCATCTCTGCTGTGAATTTTCTCGCAGTTCTTCCGCAATTGATTCCATGCCAGGAATAAGGGCGCATTGAAATTATCATGGCGTGTTTGAACACCCTCAAGCAGGAAATACGGGTACTGGAGAACGCGTTTCCAAAAACAGACGAGCTGTTCCAAGTGGTGGCGGCCAGTGTTGACGAATTGACCTGCCGATTTATTTCCAAAACGAACAAGAAATATGACATTCACGCCAATATCACAGTGAGTATGGTCTCCCACAGTCAGCCTTTAGTCCAGTCCTACCAGAAAAGGCCTGAGGAGAGCTAGATAAGAGAAAATCAATGTAACATGTCAGAGCGAAGGTCGGCCAACAGTCCAGGCTTTGTTTACAGAGTCCAAGGCCAGGACCCCATGCCCGACCCTCGCTCCTCTTTTCGCATTTTCCAAACCATTGCTACGTTTCCACCGTTGCGTCACTATCTCTCGGAAAACTCATCTCGTTCATCTCACAACTTATACAGTATCTGTCTGTCTTAGTGACCAAGCAGGATGTTGTAGTTCGGTAGTGTTGCAACAGACCAAGGGGGGAAAGGACGGAGTTTGTACTCAAGCAGATATTATTTTAGATGAATATTCGTAGATTTGATTGTCATCCTCTGGGAATAACACCTTGTGGTTTGGAGACCTGTAGCTTGTTTGAGTATCCATTGTTGTTCAGGGATTTGTTAAGCTTAAGGCTTAAGCTAAATTCTGAAGTGGTTATAAGTTTGGCTACTGGAGGAGTGCATGTAGTTTTAGTCTTTGTTCCTTTTTGGTCATTATTTTTTACAATTGTTATGTGGGGTGTGCCCAGTATTAATAAACAATTTGTAATTTATTCTTTAAATAAGCAGTTCTTTAAATTGGTATGCATCAGTGATTTTTACACAATGAGTTTGAAAATAGAAGTAAAGTCGGCTGTAGGGCTGCTTGTGAGTTGCATATATTATGGTATTTATTATTTTCTTCACTTTTATTATCGTAAATTGCTCTTGGATGCTAGATTAGGTGGAGTGTTCAAGATAAGTGCTGGAAACTGTTTTACCTTGACCAGACCATAATTTTGACTGACCTTTTGGACGTTACTTGGTACATTGGTATTAGAGATATTATTTGAATGTTAAATGATAAAAAAAAAGAAACAGTGGCCTTTGAAAGAACAAACAGGACCTATATAGAATTAACTTGCAAAAATTAAAATAGTGATCACTTCCTAAATTTTGGGACACTTTTCAGTGGCTTTGTCTACATTATGACCATAGGTTTCATAAATGCTCTAAATATGAACAAAAGACTTATGTATGACCAACAAAAATTCATGCATAATTCCTCTGTTAACACCAATCCTCGAGTAGAATTTTTGAAAATGTAAATGGAGGATTTGGAATTAATGTGAGTGCTGTAATGGTTCGTGATGCTGTTCTTGTCAATCTAGTGCAATTAACAATTGGCTATTCATTTTTTTCTTAGCTCCTGTTGGAATATTACCATCTTTGAATATTTTTGGGGGTGCAGGGGTTATTCTACCAGTTAGCTGTGTTTTCTTTTCTTGGCTTTAGCAAAGCACCCATAGAAAGAAGATATATGTTTGAAATCACAATGTTTGTGGAGAGTGACCCAAAGCTTGCTTTTTTGAGTAATGGAGCTTTTGTCTCAAGGGTGCTGTCACTTCATAGATAATTGCCTGTCTGACTAAACCCAGTTTTCACTGCTTGGATGTAGGCTTGGTCTCTTTACAACATCTTGCTGTGCAGCCTTTCCTTTTGCTTGCAATTAGATTCCACTCCTCGTGCTAAGCACATCGAAGTTGACCTGAAAAAAATATTGAAGTGATGGTTTAACTGTACAATATAACAAAATTCTAAGATGATAATAGACTAAAGGTCTACACTTTTTTGCTCAGATTTTGGAGTATTCATCCAGATAAGCTATACTGTCTGCAATAATTTTTTTTTTCCTCTAATTGGTTTCAACTGAACTCCAACTACTTAACCGAATGCCACTGGGGATGGCATGTATGTACATGCTATGCCCACTATGAGTTTTGTTTATTAATTGTTGCTACACAGTTTTTACACATATAAGTACAAAGTCACTAATGAAACAGTTAGTAGTACTACATCACTCATCTATTTACCCTTTCCCTTGATATTTAGAAATATTTTCTTCTATCTTAATGCTATTAGTAATGTCAATGATATTATCATTATATTTTTTTATGATGATGATAAAACAATCAATATTCATTGCATTCCACTACAGCTTGCTGCCGGGATGGAATGCTACCTTCAATCAAGCAAAGCACTACGTGAAGTCGGTTGATGTCACTACGTCTACTAATTGAATCCTTAATAGCTAAGCAATAGCGACGCCATATATGTGTAGAGATACTTCACTAAGCAAAACTGCAGTGAGCACTATATTATCTTGGGAACATGGGCTCAAATGCAACAATCCAATTAATCCAATGTTAATTTTTTGCAGTGGGATTATTTCTGCCAAAACAGTGTAATACTAGAATATCTACTGTAACAACTAGGATGTTCGTTCGCTATAGATATATCAATTTAACTTTAGAGAAGTATTTAAATCTTTATTTTTTTATTTCGGTTAACTGTTTGAAGTTTATCATGCCAAAGTAAATCAGTTAACCAAAATGTATCCCCTCCCTCCCTCAAAAAAAAAAAAAAAAAAAAAAAAAAAAAAAAAAAAAAAAAAAAAA